TCTGCTAGAGTGGCATTTTCGTCAGTTCTTAAATAAGTCATTCATTTTTTTATTCATAAGAACAAGAAATTTAAATACTAAATAAAACTTTTTGATAACATAAAATTAAAAATTTCACACATTAAACTAAAATATTATTTTAATTACTTTTTGCTTTAACAGTTAAACTAATCAATAATATCAGCAATAATCAGTTTAAGTTTAACTAATACTACTTAATGCACAAACTCAACGCATGGATTTTTTTATAATTGATTTTAACGTTGTGACATATTTTGACAACGTAATGATGCCGGCTGGGATGTATATATATATATATATATATATATATATATATATATATATATATATATATATATATATATATATATATATATATATATATATATATATATATATATATATATATATATATATATATATATATATATATATATATATATATATATATATATATATTTATATATATATATATATATATATATATATATATATATATATATATATATATATATATATATATATGTTATTGTTAAGAAAGTATACTTTTCTAACTATTATTCAAAAAATGTCAGTTAATGAATTATTAAATAGTCTAGGAGGTTGTTTTTTTTTTTTTTTAAAAGGCCAAAAGTATATACTTTGCAATTTTTTTTATGCTAAACCTCAACGAAAGTGTCAGTTCTGGATAAACATAAAGAAAGGTACAGCTGCAGCTCTACGTAAACGTAAAGAAAGTTAGAGCTGCAGCTCTAGATAAACATAAAGAAAAGTATAGTTAATAATATTTAATATTATAATATAATAATATTTGTGGTAATTAAATAATAAAAAAATAATATTTAATAAGTGCGGCAGTGGTAGAGCGCTCGCTTTATAAGCGGGAGGTTCTGAGTTCCATCCCCACCATGTCCCTGGTAGTACCGCACTCAACTCGTTTCTCCGCGCAACGGCCTTGTTCATCAAGGTTCGTGTTTCGGAGTTATAGAGTTGAGAGAGGGTTATAACCACAGATAAGTAGTCTCCTCGTCTGTAGTGGCCTTCTCGGCCTTGAGGATGTGAATTAACAAAAAAAAAAACTAGAATAGACCGCTGTAACAGTTGACTATTTTGATAAATAAATGTTGCTCGTATCTACACTTCTATTTGGCAAAAATAACTTATAAAATATATATTTATTTTTTAATTTTTTTTTAAAAGAAACCTGTCAGAGTACTTCGAACTTCCTTTAAAACGTTGGCGATGAACAAAAAAAATCATGCCTTTACACATTAATAACCAAAATGATCCGACCACTCAAAATTACTAAACATAATTAAAACAAACTAAACAATCACGCATTGTTGATGATTGCGTAGTTATCATTTAATAGGAAAATATCTTGTATGATCTTTATTCATTAAATTTATGCGTACTTTACATTAGAGTATTGGCTTCAATATTTCGCTAAACGTGAACAAGTACAGCTTCTAATACAGTCTGTAGGTCTGAACGAGTTGATTGTATGTCTGAACGAATTGATTGTCTGTAGGTCTGAACAAATTGATTGTTGTATGTTCAAAGATGCCTGAGACAACGTGATTAAGCGCATTAAGTCGAAAAACGACATTAATCCAAAATAAATAATCACAATAACGCCTAAAATAACGTGTAGAATAGAGGCTGTTCTAAAAACTTTAATGAACCCATACAAAGTACTAAAACATGTTTTATACTGTAAGTTCTTTATTCTTTGTGTTCATGTATGTTTGTTTTTTTAATTAAAACGTTATTCTAGTAATAGATTTATATACGGGTAAAAATTTCTCAAAAAACACAAAAATACACAAATCTGCACCCTATATCACCAAAATTTTTGAAACTTGGCACAAATGTTTATAGACATGTTAGGAAAAATTGTAATTTTTTTTCATAAAATTCCTTACTGTTTATAATTTACAGCAATTTGAAGTTTCCTTGATTTTGACTAAAAACTGAGGGGGGGGGGGGGGAGTGCCGAAAATCATTCCGTTTACTTTCACCTTAACATGGTGCTTGTAGTGATGTTTTGTACCAAAAGAGTTTAAAACCTGTTAAATCCGAAAAATATAGTTTTTTATATGTCAAAACAAGGGAATGTAGCTTATTTTAAGATCCATAAAACACACTTTATAACGCCGAGAAAAAAGGGCATTGACAATTATAGCTATAAAAAAAATCTGACTGATATAAAATAAATTTAATTTCGATTTTCTTAAAAATAAGATCAACACCTACTTTTCGAACCAATTTTGTTTTGGCCTTATATTTACTTGAGGAATTATTGATGTTTGATATAGACACAAAATTTTTTAATATTTTTTAAATTAGACACTTAATATAACCCCACCTTTTACCAATCAATCAAATTAGAAACTAAAAATTTAGTGACTTTATTATCTTTTTCATTTTCATATGATTTTTACAACAAAATTTAAACGAACATAAATTTTTTTTAAAAAATACTAAACTTTAGTGATTTTATATATGCTTTACATTCACATTATTTACAAGTTGGTTCACAAAACATAATATTTTAAAAAAGAATGGATAAGACATAATAGACTCATAAATATAAAAATCTCTACTTCCTTAGCAAAATAATTTTTTTTAAGTCCTCTTTGGCTAAATAGTAGCAAAGTCCTGTTTTTGTTATTGGTACCTCAACTTTGCAAATAATGTGGACATCAGGAATCCAGCATTGGCTTTTCTTTGGTGGCCATTTAAACGACCGTGCAGGACCATTAGGACACATAAATTTTACAAGCACATCTTTTTCTTCTAAATTAATATCTTCAATGATTCCTATCCACCACTTTTGCTCATAGGAAACACAGGCATAATCACCTGGTACTAGGTTTACAGTTGTTATTTGGATATTTCCAAAGTCATGAATTAAAGCAAATTCTTCATCAACACTGCATAGTTTAGTGCCTACCTAAACAAAATAGTAACATATACAATTATTCCGTTTTACTTATCAAACATGATTTATTAAATGCATAGATAGCAAATGCAGAGGAAATAAAATAAAATACAAATATTTTTGATAATGATTCTACAAAAATCTAATATCTATTTGAGTTTATCAATAAAAGTTATGTGTGTATTTTAAAATATGGTAAAATGTATAATTAAAAAATAATAATTTACCTTTTGATGGCCAAGTGGTACAAACTGATGGTAACTACGTGTTCCAGGTATTGTATTAGCAGTATCCAATCGTTCTTTAAGAGCGGTTCTCACCAAAGTTAAATCTTCTGATGAAATATATATGAAATTTATGCCTTCAATGTTTTCATTGCAATATTTATACATTGTTTGTAGAGATAAAATATGATTATCCATATCTCTTTGCAAACTTGCTAGTGTTGCCAGACGTTTGACAGTACCACCTATCCCATCACGAGGTTGCTTACCGTGACTAGTTGCAAAAAAGTTCCATTTAGCAGTAAAACCAAAATCTTCACAATGGAAACAAAGATTTAACATATTTTTGCAATTCTTATATTGACCTGCACACCCATCTGAAAAGTATTCAATATTTTTTATTTAAGGCTAATTTGTTTTTATATAATTGTAAACAACCTCAATAATTTTATAAACCATGTTCACATCATGGATCATATCATCCGAAATAATACAATAGGATTTGTGCTTAAGAATGCCTTTTTTTTTTGAAATAAATAATTACTGGATGAAGTGTACATTGTAAATTTATCCAATGAAAGCTTTGCACTTCATCCTGAACTACAAGTTTATAGTTTTCTGAAAAATCACCCAGAAATAATGCTGTTACCTCATTCATATCTTCCTTTCTTGATCTCAGGTATAATGCTTGACTCTTTGCTAAATACAAATGTGGTGCAAGTTTTTCCAGTTTTTTACATACTAGTTCAATGTATTCAAACACTGGCTCTTTATTATGTGTCAAGTTTGACCTATCTGTTGTTGTCCATTGATCAAATTCAATCTCATCATCATTTTCAAATTCTCCAAGTATATCATAAAGTTTTTCAACCAATGCATTCATAGTTGCTGGGCATTTTTCACATTTCCTCATCATACAGTCTTTATTAGTTATATCACAGACAATATAAGGTAGCAATTCTTTGTATGTCACACCAAGAGGATGTAAAAGCAGTTTCCAATTCTGATGAATAGCACAGACCATACAGAATGTGTTCCTGAGGCACCAACAGTAATACACCATTTAGGTCGCAAAGTGCAAAACCTTGAAAATCCTATTTTTATTTCTGGGTTCTTGGTTTTAAAGGTAAGAAACAATTCCTTTAAATTACATAAGAGCAAACGCTTTTGCATGTGGACATTTTTCTTTATGCTTACATAGTCCTTTTTACCAGGCATTATACGGCTATGTTCATTGTCTTCGGAAAAGGTCTTGACCAGTTGAACTGTTACATCAGGAAGAGCTTTTCCTAATTTAAGATTAGGCATGGTTAAAATACCTTTTTCTAATGTTAACTTACGTGCAGTTCGAGCTACATAGTTTGTTACATGCAATGTTTCAGATTTTTTTTTTTTTATTATTATTATTAATCACCTCGTCAAGGCCCGAGGGGGCCACTACAGTCGAGGAGGCTACTCATTTTTTTTTTTAATTTTTAAATTTTTTGTTGTAAATCGCGGTAAAAACCTCTCTCAACTCTTTAACTCCGAAACGCGAACCTTGACAAACAAGGCCGCTACGCGGAGAAATTAAGTTGAGCGCTGTACTTCCAGGGACAACTCCGAACCTCTCGCTAAGAAAGCGAGCGCTCTTACCACTACACCACTACCGCATATATAGATACCTTTTTTATTGACCAGTCTGTTGGAGCAAGTGTCGCAAGATGTACTTTTTTTTGATGTTAATGTAGACTCTGCAATTTTGTTAGTTAACAATACCATCATGTTATCAAACAAGTTTGCTTTTTCCATATACTCATTATTAAAACTTGACTGTTCTTCAAAACTTTCTTCTGATAAATTAAGGGAAATGGCTACCTTTTTTTAATGGAGGTTATTAATGCTGTCAATTTTCGTTTACCTTCTCTGATTTTACCTGACTTGTGTAATCCTTTGACCTTAATCGGAGATACTCCGGCAGATGCAAAGTGTGTATCTACACTTTCTTTTTTATTTTGAATGGATCTTTTATTAACAATATCAAAATCTTCATCATTTTTATTTTCAGTTATACTTTTTGATAAACATGTCATAACTTTACTTCGACAGGTTGGATACAGTTTTTTTTGTTATATTAATAACTATAAAACATTGAACAAATCTTATTACCAAAAAAACTTATATGATTTATTAATAATGATATTACCTAATGAAATATAAATATATAAATTTTTACCTCTACATACCTTTTGGTGACTCAGAAATGGGTTACAGCAACTTTTCTGATTACCCTCATATCTTACAACTAACATATCATGATGGTGTGTGCATATATTAGTAATTTCTTCTTGTTTCAGATTTGTTCGTTTTTCAAGTAGCTTACGATCATTGCTGTCAATATCTTCAATCAGATTTCTTTCTTGAGTATATGATTGTTTATAACAAGCTCCATAATTATTTACAAAGCAGCAACTAATTTTGTTATCCATATAAAAATATAATAAGGAATCTCTGTCTAAACACTTAATACAAGAAATCTTAAATAATCTTAATGTCTCTAACAAGAAAAGTACACTTGAACACAAACAATATCATATCAATATGTATTTATAAAGAACATATTGCTTGAACAAGTAGCTATTAGTTTAATAGACATATTTTAAATGCCTAACTATCTACTAATTATTGTAAATTCTCCATTAACTAATTACAAAAAGTTGTGTAAAAGTAAAAGATAACTAAATATAATTTTATTTAGTTATGTAACTTAACATGGTAATGCTAATTAGACATTATTATATCATTTTATTACTTTTTTTATTGATGATAATAAATGTTTTATTACAACAAAACAATCAACAACAAAAGTTACATAATATTGTTAAATTTAATGACATGATATTATGTAATGAAAATGACATTATTATCATGTAATGAAAGTAAAAAGAAACAAATTTATAAAATGTTTAACTATGTTTTGTAATAACTTTGTAAATTTTTTACAAAGCTATTAAAAAACAAAAATAATTGTATTTGTATTCAAAATATATTTGCAAATTTTTTTTTTTGTGCAAAATATCTTTAGAAAAATTAAAAAACTAAAACATCAATAATTCCTTGATAAAACATAAGGTCAAATAAAAATTGGTTCGCAAAGTAGATATATGTTTAATATTTAAAATAACGAAAACCAAAACTTTTTTTCATCAGTCAGATTTTTTCTAGAACTATAGTTGTCAATGGCCTTTTTTATTGTCATTAACAAGTGCGTTTTGTGGATCTAAAAATAAACTATATTTTGTTGTTTTGAGAGATATAAGTTTATGATTTTCAAATTCAGCAGGTTTTAAACACCTTTGGTACCAAGTTTTAGCTTCGCAACATTACTACAAGTTTGTTAAAAGGGTAATGGTAATTTGACATATTTCCGGCTTTATCCGCCCTCTTTTTTCAGTCAAAAAATAACTAACTTCAAGTTGCTGTAAATCTTAAAGGGTTGAGAATTTTTTGAAAAAATTTTACAGTCTTTCCTAACTTATATCTTTAAACATTTGTGCAAAATTTCAGCGAATTTGGTGATGCAGGGTGCAACCCCTTGTTTTTTGAGAAATTTTTACCCATACTATAGAGTGCTAAGACGGTTTTTCGCTATAAATATTGAGTGGTTGGATCTTTTTGGCATTAGCTGTAGTATATTATTTGACTTAGTGTTAGGTTTATTATTCTTCCAATACAATATAAGAATCTGAGTTTATAATTTTTATTTGTTCCGTTTTAATAGCGTATTTAGTATTATTATTTTTATAATATTAATTTGTATTTTTAACAAGCTTAAAACATTTTAATAAATATTTTTTAGCTTCATATAAAGCATGAACTCAATCAAGTTAGTAATTTTCTTTTAACGTTTTTGTTTTGCATTATTATTTTACGGTACACTGTGTTTTCATAAGTTCTTTAAGTTGACTTACCGTATTTTCATATGTTCAAGTTGACTTACAGTCATACTGTTACAAGATGAAAAAGATGTTTTTTAGAAGATAACGTTTTTTACATTACTCCGATTAAGTACTTATTATTATTATCTTTTAAGAAACCTTTTATCTGATTTTGAAAGTCATTTTCATTTTAAATCTGATTTCGGAAATTTTAAAGTCATGTTTATACATCTATTTTTCACACATTTATTCTCAACTTAATATTTATTTTATTTTTTTTATTCGGAGACGTACCAATTGATACGACAACGTCTGTGTGACGTCATTTTGCTCACATACTTTTGCATAAATTGTAGCACGCTAAACACGCGATTTTTTTGATTAAGTACATATGCGCACATGCTTACAGATATTAAACGGTTTTCCTACGAGTAGACTGTCCAAAAACCTCCTGAAATTGCCGTGACGCTTTGAAAAGAGCGCTTGCTTTAGAATCAAGAGGTCTGAGTTCAATGCTAGTTCTGACCATATTTGTGACGTCAGGAAGAAGGAGACGTGAACTTCCTAGTTAAATGCACCTCCCTCTTTGTAATAAGATTGTCAGGTCTTTTTTTTTTGAGCACTTTAATAACTAATTTTTTTGAAAAAGTTGCAATTTATATATTGACAACTTTAGGTGTTTAGTTTGTCAACATATCTGTTAAAAAATTAAAAAGTAGTTTTTAAAAAATAAAGTCCATTAGAAGCCTTTTACGATAATCTTTACCAATTGATTTTTTAAGATATTTAAAATATAGAAAATTTATGTACTCAAAAAAAAATTATAAATTATTTTTATAAAGAGTTTCTGTAATAATTTTTAGAATTATTTATTAGTTTAGGACTTTTTTATTTATTAGTTTTCGATAAAGTTTGTATATATTTTGCGCGTTGGAACACAATTGTAATCTGGTTGGCTGGCTAAATTGATCGTTTTAATGTTTTATTGTAAATGTTCTATTATTTGTTTTAGAAAAATTATTTATCGTTTTTTGTCGTTATTTTTTTAAAGAGCTTTTATTAGTTGCAGGGGCGGATGCATGATTTTTTGTGGGTGCTGCCTGTTTTTTTTCGAGTTGCCAAAATAGTTTGCGATATTTTTTTTTGTAAGCCCCTCCCCCGGGTTAGCGAGGGGGGAGTTCAAAGCGGCATCAGTACTTTATTAATACTTACCGGACATTGTTCTCAATTACCCATATAAAACAAAACTAACAACAATATTGCCTTGGCTATTCTGTTCATAAATTAGACATTTTTTACTAGTCTAACATATTTAACGAAGTGCACCAACAAGAAGGTAAGCCATAGGACTTTGCACTCTGTAAACTGTCATGTGGCCTAAGGTTAGCCCTCCATTTCTGGATTCTTTCTTTTTCTTGATAGGCAGTTAGTGTAAAGTAATTGTATTGTTGCCTTAGGTTAGCCCTCCATTTCTGGATTCTTACCTTTTCTTGATAGGCAGTTAATGTAAATTATTAATATTATTACCTTAGGTAAGCCATCCATTTCTGGGTTCTTTCCTTTTCTTGATAAGCAGTTAGGCTAATTTTTATTTTTATTTTTTTATTTTTTATTTTTTATTTTGTTTTTTCTAATTTTCATTAAATATAAAATAAACTTAAATAAAACAAACTAAAATACAAGAATATAGTCAATAAATAAAAAAGAAATTAATAAATTAATATTAGGTAAAAACAAACTCTAAGCGTCGTTCCCCTATAACAGAAAAAAAATTCAAAACTCTTTCTACATCAGGAATTATTTCTTGATGAATAGACATCAGAGCTAAAGAACTAAATCTTGACTCTGTCATGCGGCTTCGCATATAAGTTTTCAGTCTGCGTATAACAGGTTTTAAAAAACCTTCCCTAATGTTTAGGAAACCCCTCATATTAATAGATTTTAAACTCTCTGTAATAGTGGATGGGATCACAGATTGATTGTTCCAAAATGTTTCCCACAAATCTAATTCAGTATAAATTGATGTAGGATAAGACATAACCGATATATAAAAATGCAAAAATTCCATAAAAACATTTTTCTTTATTTTTTTTTTACAACAGTTGCAGGAATACCAGATAAACCTTTGTAAACAACCATATCCCCTTCATCAAATCTACCTTCTAATTCATTAATTAAATGATCTAGAAGAGGAAATGTGATGGAATATTTGAAATAATCTGAAACTGTGTCAGAGGGATAATTATCTCTATAAATTTGTCTGCCACAGAGCCTTGGTTTAACTTCTGAAACATCAAGAGTCTTAGCTAGATCAAGAACAATTAAGTGCCATTTGTTATGATAGACATCAATATTTTTTTTAAATCTAAAATTTGAGTTTTTAAACAATTTATTTCATTACACTGTTGTGATATATCAAACGCTTTATTTTGAAGAACAACAGTGATGGCATAGAAATAGTCCATTATTTGTTTGGTTAAAACTAAACTTACAATAAAAGAAAAATTAGTCATAAGATTTAAAAAACATGCTTTTGAAGAAGTATCAATTTTATAACTCTTACCTTTATTGTATGCCATTTCTTCCATTGAATGAAAAACGGTTATGTAGTTATCAAAAAAAACATCCAGACCTTTAAGTTTCTGAACCCATCTAGTTCGACATGTATCGATTAATTTTGCTTTACCAGGATAAATGAATTTATTGAGACAGCTGGCACGTTTAGGTGATTAGTTAAAAAAATATGATATATCTTTGATTTGATCAAGAACATTTCTAAGACTCTGAACATTGCATGATTTACTTACAACTAAATTAAGTTTATGGCATGCACAGTGAATAAAAATAGCCTTTGAATTGATAAATTTAATTCTTGATGAAATACCTTTTAATTTACCAGAAATTGCTCCAGCACCATCATATCCTTGACCTCTACATTTTTGGATATCAAGACCGAGATCATCAATTGCAGAAACTATGCTTTGCGCCAGAACCGTTGAAAATCTTTACAAATAATGTTATCACAGTCAATGTATCTTATAACTAGAGATAGCTGTTCAACATTAGAACAATCAGAGACTCCATCACACAAGATACAAAAATAACCTGACTTTTTAATCTTATTAATTAGAACTTCTTCGATTGTTTTTCCAAGCATTCAATAAGTTCGTTTTGTGTGGTTTTAGATTTATAGGTTGCATTTTTAGGAGCAGAACGAATATGGTGCTCAAGAACTTTATCACTGCTTCAAAAATGCAAAAATTTAAAAGCTCTACAAAGTTACCTATACCAATGTTATTTTTACATGTTTCTCCGATCTCTGGATGATACTTATTGTCATCATGATGACCTCGAAAAGCAATATCATTGCGGCCAAGAAAAATAGTTGTCTTTATCATTGGAATTAATTAAGGCGTTACTAGAATAATTAAGGATTCATTTTTATATATAAACGGAACCGAGAGAACCCTTTTGATTAAACGTTCCTGCAACTTTTTTTTGTTGTCTACTGGAAATTCGGGTCAAATGAATCCTGAAACAATAAGGATTTTTTTGGCCGCAGCGGAGTGTTGTTACATCGACTATCTTATAGCCTGACTAGCAACGGAGTGCTGCTACATCGACTACCTTATAGCCTGTCTCACAAAGGATTGCTGCTAAATTGACTGAGGGTTTGGTTTGGGAAGGCAGTTTATCAAATAATTATTAAAAAAAAAAATTATATTGTATTTGTCTAGTTTCACTTAATTTTATTTTATTTTTTTTAATTAACTTTTTAGCTTAAAAGTCCTTAAAATATAGCGCTAAATGAAATATTTAACGGAAATAAAACATTATATCATTAACAACCAATAGGACAATGGTTCCCAAAAAAGTTCGCATTTTGCCAGTTCGCGGTTCGCAGTTCGCATTTTACCTAGTACCAATGTTTTTCTATGAAGGCAATGTTTTTTTTTATAAAGAACTCATATATTCATATAAGTATATTATAAATTTAAGTTTAGTATTTTTTAGGTTATGGAACGGAATTTTTTATAATTTCTTCGAATATTATGGGTGAATCCTGGGCAACACAGGATACCCCCTAGGTCCGCCCTTGAGTTGGCTGTTTTTTTTTATTATTATTTTTTGAGCTATGTATTGTTATCTATTCCTTTTTAATAGAAAAAGAAATTAATCTTTTTGTTAAATCCAATAGCACTTTCCAAAGAAAGGGTTTTTTCTTTCAGTCCTATATCCGTAATTTTAGATTACTCAAGAAATTCTTATAATTTAGATGTGTTAAAAGTTTTTATACCCTTTCCAGTGGGCATGGGACGTAAAAAAGACGTCTTTTAAATAATGCGCAATTTATGCATGATAGAAAACACCCAGAGCATATCTCTAGAAAAATGCTTTCCGTTTACATTTTCTTTTTACGTTTACGTTTTCTCAAACTAAAAATTTACTTCAACTTTGATTTTGAAATATTGCAATTATTAACTAGAAATTGAAAACGCAGTATAACATTTGCAAATAAATTGTAGAGCTTCATTTGAACCGATGAATGGAATACCACATTTTTATATTTCCGCTCCTTTGCTTCACCAATTTGGAATTATCATGTGATGTGTAAGCCTTCTACTTCCTTTTGCAATATATAAAAAGACATTGCAGGGCCGACGACACAGGTTTTGAAGTGGGGGAGGGGGGCACAATAATCAATTTGGGGGAAAAAGTCCTCTATATCAAGATTTGATGTAGAGGACTTTTTCCTATCAAACCCTCTGGCCCCCCGGTGTTGTTGGCCCTGCATTGAACTTGCCCCAAATACTTCACACCAGAGCTACGTAGTTTTTTTTTTATTCTTTGATAGTTTTATCTGAAATCATTGTTATATCAAAAAAATGGTTCTAATAAGTAGGAGCGCAATATTTTTCTAACAACATGTTAATATTGTTTTTAGATGACTGAATAAAAATACGGATCCAATAGGAAATGATGATTTCTTTTCATAACAGGCGCCAAAGGTGTTTAAAGATTTCTAATTTGGTTCTCTTTTACCTATTGATGTTTAGTATTGACAAATACCTGATTTTTAACCATCTAATTGGTGTTTAGTATTGGCATCAATTAATAAGCAGCCGTGGCGCAGTGGTTAGAGTTCTGGCTCAGAACCCAGGTTTGACGTCAGCTCTAGCCCAACAAGCGACGTTGGTACGGAAGAAGGCGTGAACTTCCTGTTAAATGCTCTCCCGCGGTGCTCTATGATAAGGCCGTAAGGATTTCTTGGAGCACCTAAATAACTACAAAAAAAAAATGTCTTTAGTATTGGCATCTATTTAACTGCTTTCAGCGGATAAAAAATGATGGTGCATTACAAGTTATAACATAAAATAAGAGCTTTTTTTTTTGTTTTATTGTTTTTTATGTGGTAACTATAAAGCAAAAATCTTTTTTTTTTTTTCTAGGAAGTTGCAAATCTATTTAAGGATTTGAAAAGCAAAAGAGAGGAATATAATATTTATGCATTCGTCAACAGTCAATTTGTCAACTTGAAAGACTCTATCTTTGTTTCAACGCCACAAAAATTCATTTCTCTATCAAAATATATGAATAGTGACGTAATAAATAAACTTCTCTCATAGTGGTTTCTCATAGTGATTTCTCATATTTTTAAATTACGGAACTAATTATTTTGTAATTATTTATGTAGAGTAATCGTTACTCAGACAATCTATTTTATTTTTTTAGGTCTTAATATTGTTAAATAAGTTAAAAGTTTTCCTTATCGAATGCAAATATTCTTTTAGCATGATTTGTCTTACAGAAACTTGGTGTTCTGACAAAAATTCTTATACAAATTCAAACCTCCTAATCTCTAATTATAATCTTATTTCTTATGAAAGAAAAGCTAACAAAAGAGGAGGTGAAATAATAACCGACATCCATAATGACTTGAACACAAAAGTTAGAAATGATCTTTTTATTTCTGATTCAAATAGTGAGGTCTTTACACTTGAAGTCATTAATGATACTACAAAAAATCTCTTAATGTCCTCTGGTTATAGACCGCCCGATGGAGATATTATAACGTTTTCAAGTTTTATGAAACAAATATATATAAAAAGCAATGTTGAACATAAAAAGCTATTCTGTATTGGTGACATGAACATAAGAGTTTAATAATAAAAAAATTATCTCTGAAAAATTTAACAAATACTTTGCAAGTATAGGTTCCAAACTCGCCTCTAAAATTCAACCCAATTCATTTAAGAACTACATCAAGGACTCTCGTTGCTCCCTAGTTTTTAAAGAACTAGAATACGAAGAACTTGAAACTGCAATTAAAACATTAAAAATTAACAAAGGTCCAGTTATCGACAGTATCCCACCCAATATAATTTCGAATGTCTTCCCAGAAATAAGTAAACCCATTTTTCAAATATTTAACTCTTCGATAATTACAGGAATTGTACTCGAATATTTAAAAATTGCTAAAATTATTTTTATCTATAAATCCGGAGATACATCCTCCTTATATAATTGCAGACCAATATCAATCCTCCCCGTATTTTCAAAACTACTCGAACGAATAATTTACAATCGTTTATATAAATACCTAACCACAAACAAAATCCTGAATGAAAACCAATATGGTTTTCAAACTCAGCACTCGACAGAGCATGCTATCGTTGACCTCATCAATAGGATTAGTGAATCAACCTATGAAAAGAAGTTCGTATTAGGAGTCTTTGTAGACTTGTCAAAAGTGTTCGACACAATATATCATGAAATCCTACTAAAAAAGTTGGAAAAATATGGATTAAAAAACCATACACTGCAGTGGTTTAAAAGTTACCTGTATAACAGACAACAGTGTGTTATTACAGATGATAATTACCACACTAAATTATTAAAATTAACTTGCGGTGTTCCTCAAGGTTCGATTCTTGCTCCTCTTTCGTTCCTAATCTATATAAACGACCTTCCAAAAGTTTCTAGCAAACTTGAATTTATAATGTTTGCAGACGATACAAATTTATTTTACTCTTCAACAAACATCAAGGATCTGTATGGTAATGTAAACATAGAACTCCAAAAATTAAATATATAGTTTAAAACAAATAAGTTATCCCTAAACATAGAAAAAACAAAACACACTTTATTTTATTCAAACCAACAAAGAAACACACTACCAAATATTCTACCCTCACTAAAAATAGAAAATATAGTAATTGAGAGAACTCACGAAACTTTTAGGAGTTATAATTGATGAAAATTTATCTTGGAAAACTCACATAAATGCTTTAAACACTAAAATATCAAAAAACATAGGTCTTCTTTATAAAGCAAAACCTATGCTGTCGCAAAGTAATTTAAAACTTATATATTTCTCTTTTATACATAGCTACCTCATATATGCGAATATAGCTTGGGCGAGTACGCATATAATCAAATTAAAAAACTTTACATGACACATGCTGTAAGACTAATCTACCTTAAAGACAAATTTACACACGCTGAACCCTTAATTAAAGAAATGAATGTGATTAATATTTATCAAATTAACATTTAACAAAATATATTGTTTATGCTAAAATTTAAGTTAGGTCAAGTACCAAACCATTTTTTAAATAACTTTTTTATAAATAACGTTAATAAATATAACACAAGAGAAACAGGAAACTTTAATACACCTTTTAAAAAAACAAAACTTTCCCAGTTCTCAATTTCATATCGGAGTCCTTACTTATACAACAAATTAGTAACTAAAAATAAATCAATTTGCAATCTAGATAATCAAAATTCCTTGAAAACAAAGTTAAAAAATCTGATACTGAATCTAAACAGATACTCTGAATTCTTATAAAACTATAAATTAAATTACATATATATCAACTACAAAGTGAAGTGACTCGTTTATGCGTATTTTCTAAATGACTCTTACCTTTCTCAAACAATATATTAAATATTGTTTATTACTCACAAAAAAAACACTTGATTTTTTCTTATTAATTTTAGTTATTATGCTGCTTGTTATGTTTAATTTTTTATACTGAGCTTATTTTGAGTTTATTTTTTATTATGAGCTAATTTAAAGATTATAAAAATAAAGTTGTACTTAATATATAATTATATTTAACATAATCATAATATATTAAACACATTGTAAGGGCTTCGTGATAAGATCATTACGATCTTCTTGAGGTCCGGCCTGTTCTATTTTATTATAAATTTCACTATATATTTTGACTCACGAGACTTGTAAATATTACACCTTTAATTTACGAAACTTGTAAATGTTATATGTACGGCAAATATATGAATAAAAAAAATAAAAATAAAAATAAGGCTACTTCTAGAACCTCTTCAGGCATATATAAGTTTACTAAATAATTTAAATTTTTTATGGCCGAGTCTTAAACTTTTATCTAACTTTGAACAATAATGCTTTCTAAAGTCATTAGTAACACATAAACTTTTTAAGTGTTTTTGAAAAGCAAGGGCATGGGAAGTAGCTGGTTTTTTAAAATTAATTTTTGTGGTCAATGCACCTTTTTATATTTTTCACATTAAAAGTGCCATAAAATATTCTTTGTAGAGTTCTTTGAAATACGTAAATTACAAATACATAAATTTATAAAAAGTACTACTTATACATTAACAATCAATATCATGAATAACCACTAAAAATCACATTTATATTTCGTGTTTTTACACAAAATACCTCGAGAGTTTCCTGAAGCCTGTCTTCATTGTGTGTTCTCTCAATGAAATCTTGAATTAACTTAATGTGGCGTTCTGCATGGTCATTTACAACTTCAAGTGTTCTTACACACATAGAAAACTAGGAAACTTCCTTATTTTCACATGCTTTGATGCCTTTTTCTTTCCATAGTAGAATTTTTTAACTTTTAAAATTTTCATTTAATAATGGTAAGTTTTTTACAGCTGTTAAAGTTATAGTAATATTATTTTAAAAAAATTGGGGGAAAATGTATAAAAACCATTTTTTAAACCGCATTATTGCAATTTACCCATGTTGCAACTAGCTTCGGTCTCCCCTACACATCAGCATTTATACAATCCCTTTTTACATTTATTAAATGGTACACTATTTGAATTGGAGCGTTGAAGATGTTTGCTTAGAAATAAAAAGAATTCCCAGAACTTAGAAAAAAACTTTATATATACATACATACATATATATATATATATATATATATATATATATATATATATATATATATATATATATATATATATATATATATAACATACTACATGGATTGATAAGTTCCCGGAATTCAAAAAAAAAAAACAAAATATCGGGACAAATATGTTTTATTCTTCTACATAATCACCTTTTAGAACAATTCATTTATTCCATCGATCTTTCAACATTTCAATTCTCTTCTTAAAATTATTATTCTCAAGTCCCTCAAAATATCCATTCGTTTCTTTTCGGACTTCTTCATTTGTTGCGAAACTCTTTCCCTGGAGCCATCTTTTCAAATTAGGAAATAAAAAGTAGTCACTGGGTGCTATATCTGGCGAATAAGCTGGCTGGGGAAGTGTTTCCCATCCTAACTCATCAAGTTTTGCCATTGCTTTTAATGACGTGTGAGATGGCGCATTGTCATGATGGTACAAAAATTTTTTCTTCCTTAAATGTGGTTGGCTTTTCTGAATCTCATCCCGTATACAATTTAATAAGGTGGCATAATACTCTCGAGTGATCGTCTTTCCTTTTTCTAAGAAATCAATAAATATTATCCACGTGCGTCCCAAAAGACACTTGCCATAACCTTTCCAGCCAACTGCTGGGTTTTCGGTCGCTTTGGTCAACTTTCCCCAGGTTTTAACCACTGTGCTGATTGTTGCCTCAACTCGGGTGTGTAGTAATGGATCCACGTTTCACATCCACATTCATCGTAATAAAACAACGCAAGTTCCACATCCATCGTAATAAAACAACGCAAAAATTCCGATGGATTGCGATTAAACATGTCCAAACACTGTTGAGAAGTCGTCACTCGGTTGCATTTTTGGTTAACAGTCAACACGCATGGCACCTATCTGGCAGCAAGCTTTTTCATTTCCAAATGTCTGTGTAAAATATTAAAAACATGTTCATAAGAAATGTTTACACGGTTAGCAATTTCACGAACTTTGATTTTACCATTTTCTATCACAATATCATGAATTTTTTCGATCATTTCTTCAGTTGAGACCTCTTTTGGCCTTCCTGAACGTTCTGCGTCACTTGTGCTTGAACGACCATGTTTGAATTCATTATACCAATCGTAAACAGTTGTTTTCGATGGAGCAGAGGAACCCAAAGTTTTATTGAAGTTATTTATTATTTCTTGAGGTTTTAAGCCTTTCAAATATTGATATTTTATCACTGCCCGAATTTCAGTTTTTTCCATATCAGCAAAAAAATCGAGACTTCACTTTGCTATAAACACAAAACTAGATAATAAACTGACTTAAAAATTATATTGTAATCGTATACAGGTCTGAACCTGCCGTACATATAAATTTTATCTTTATAGCGATGATTCATACATCCCATTCCGGGAACTTATCAAACCATGTAGTATATATATATATATATATATATATATATATATATATATATATATATATATATATATATATATATATATATATATATATATATATATATATATATATTGAGAATATGAATTGTGGTAACTTCAGTTTCCAATATAAAAAACAGATAAACTTTGGTTTAAAAGGTTTTTTCAATTTTTGAAAAAGGTCACCCTCCATAACCCTTGATTACACACTGGCTCCCAAATATCAGTGAATTTTTTTTATTCAAAAGTATATCAACCTAATTCTCAAAAGAACCGGAATTTTATAGTGCTTACAGAAATAAAAATGGTTACAAATGAAAATGAATTGATTAAATTTTATATACAAAAAAAAAAAAAAACAATTTTTAACTTTTTTAATTTTAATTAAAAAGGTAGTTCTTTACGACAATTTGTTTGCAATATTTTTATATATATATTTTTAAATGTTTCAGTAGAAAAAATAATGAATTTTAAAATTGCTATAAAATTCTGGTTCTTTTGAGACCCAGGTTGATATACTTTTGAAGAAAAATAAACTTACTGATATATGGGAGCCAGAGTATAATCAAGGATCATAGTAGGTGATCTTTTTCAAAGATTAAATAAAACAGATGACTTTTCAGCTACTTTCAAACCAAAGTTTATCTGTTTTTTATATTGGAAACTGAAGTAACCAAAAATTCACATCCCTAATTTATATATATATATATATATATATATATATATATATATATATATATATATATATATATATATATATATATATATATATATATATATATATATATATCCATATATATATATATATATATATATATATATATATATATATATATATATATATATATATATATATATATATATATATATATATATATATATATATATATATATATATATATATATATATATATATATATATATATATATATATATATATATATATATATATATATATATATGTATATATCCATATATATATCCATATATATATCCCAGCTAGCACACTTACATTGGGTTAACGTATGTAAACCATCGCGAACGTCGGCTCTTTTTTCCAATGCAAAACCAACGTTGATCCAATGTCATTTGGTTAATGATAAAATTATTACCGACGGAATTAAAAACATCTGGCAAATTTACATTGGTCTAATGTATGTAAAAGCATCGCAAAAAGTTGATTGTTTTTACAATCTAAACTCAATCCAATGTATATATTTCGACGTTGATTCAATGTATATAAATCAACGTTTTTTCAGTGTATATAAAAACATCGCAAAAATTTGATTGTTTTTAGGATCTAAATCCAACGTTGATCCAATGTATATATCTCGACATTGATATAATTTATATAAATCAACGTTTTTCCAACGTATGTAAAAACATCGCAAAAAGTTGATTATTTTTACGATCTAAACCCAAAGTTGACCTAATGTATTTATTTCGACGTTGATTCAATGTATATAGATCAACGTTGATCCAATGTATGTAAATACATCGCAAAGGGTTGATTGTTTTTACGAACTAAACCCAACGTTGATCCAATGTATGCGACCAAACATTGCTTTAGCGAATTTATATAACTTAAATAAAATCTTCCGTTACTATAAAAATATTAAGCCACAATCAACACAAACATAATTTTTGTTCCGATGATCAAGCAATTTCATCCTTTTATTTATATATGTGTTGGTTGCGTATGGTAATATATATATATATATATATATATATATATATATATATATATATATATATATATATTATTTCTATATAAAAATATATTGTATATAAATTTAAAAAAATAGAACTTAATGAAAATTTTATTCCGAATAATATTCTATACAACGTTTTGCCAATTTAAGTTCAACGTTAAATCAATGTAAATACAATGTTGTGACAACTTAAAATACAACGTTGAGCCAACGTATAAAATAAAACGTTGAATCAGCGTAGAAAATATAACCATTTTCCGACATTAAATAAACGTTTTATCAACATTGGTTTTTAGTTATTGGCAACGTCACATTTGTAACCATAATGATATAAAAACAACGTTGGCAGCCCATGTTGGGCCAACGAAACGCGCGACATTTTTCTAATGTTTTACAACGTATGTGTGCTAGCTGGGATATATTTACATTTAGACATGCATATATAAATATGCATATATATATATATATATATATATATATATATATATATATATATATATATATATATATATATATATATATATGTATACATATAACTATATAAAGTTATATTTAACTAATAAAAATGGCTTGATCACTTATGTGGCTGGATAGCTCAGTTGGTTAGAGCGTCAAACAAAAAGTTAAAACTCGGACTGTTGTATGATACAGTTTCAATCCTGCCACAGCCAACTCAGCGCTTGAGTAGTACTTCTATACGCAAAAATGTTGGTCAATAACGGACGCTGCTTTGAATTATTCTTAATGACTATTTGTGGCTGTTCCTATGCTAAGCCAACAATATCTTCGGATATACCATTGTATAGAAAAGTATAGCATGAAATTTAAATAAAAAATTAGAGTTTTCAATTTTTAAGATGCCAAGAAGAAAATCTAGTGGAACAGACTCTGGTGAAGATGCCTTGATGGCTGTTCTATCCTCATAGAATATTCTTTAGATATTCCTTTTTCCCAATCGCACTTCTTTAAAATTATGGTATCGAAATGTACCAGAATTTTTAAACCTATTACTTATTTATGTTTTCCTCTCTAATTATCTGTGCCTCGGGCTTCACAATATTATGAGTTTTCATGTTTAGAGTTATTATATTATTGACATATTATCAATATTAACTCCACCAGTCTTGTAAAAAGAAGACAAAAGACCCATACCCGACCTAACTCCAATCACAAATCTGGTCGAAATTAGAATCCAATTGTTAAGAATATCTTCCATACTCAACTGAAGGCAAGCTTTGATTTTACTCTGAAAACTTTTCTGTTTTTTCGGGACATTTGCTGGAGGTAAATATAGTTCGTCGCACTCAGTTTGATTGTTACTATCCGTGCTTGAAAAGTCACCGTCCGTGCTTGAAAAGTCACCGTCCGTGCTTGAAAAGTCACCGTCCAAAGAGTTACTCTACTTTTTCTTATTTTTATCTTCAGGTCTTTGGATTTCCTCAGACATCTTAACTATTTTTTCTTGTGCCCTGAGAGCATTTTCACAAAATTAATGCCCATGTTCCCGAATTTGACCATTTCCCCTCTCAGACAAAGCCTCAAGAAATTTATGTCTTGCTTCTTAGCCTCATCGTCCCTATTTTTATCACTTTTTATCGAATCAAATATGTTTGCTTTGTTAATAGAAAAGAGAGCATTGCTCTCTTTCAAAAAAGTGTTCACCTTCTTTTTGTAGCTACCCTCTGGTAGTTCTAGTGTTTTCAGCTTTTTATAAGTGTGATATTCCTTGACTTTCTTGGTGATTCTGATCTTGATAGTTTGCTCCGTCACAATGAAAACATCGTTAAACCCAGCCTGCTCCCATAAGTTGACAAGCTCTCTCAGAATACATAAACCTGTAATTGTATGCTTGGTGTTCTGATTAAGATAGTATTTAAGATGCTCCAGGTTTGCTGATAGAGTGTGTGTTTCCACACACTCCACACACTGCCGATGGAGTGTGTGTTTCCACACACTCCATCGGCAAACCTGGAGCATCTTAAATACGTCTTCCCGGAAACAACTGGACAACCAATTTTGATGTTGATCTGTGTGGTGCTAAAAAATAAAAAATAAAAATAACATTAGGGTAAGGTTGCCGATATTGTACCGGCGCCTAAATTTTACATTTGCTGTATCTAGTTATTTTTATTACCCAAAAAATATCTTATGACTAAAATTTTATCTTTGCTATGTTAAACTTAGGAATCAATTGTTTTTTTTGTAAAATGAAGCTAGATTCTAGCAACAGTTACCATCATATCGAGTTGATATGATGCAAAGTTTTCTTATTTTTGGGCTTCAATATTTAGTGTAATTACTTTAAACATGTTAAATATTTGTCTTTTTTATCATATTTATGTAAAAGCACTATTTATGTGAGGTCAAAATAACTTCCAAGAAATTAAAATACAGTAGCATTTGTTGTCTAATTTTGTTATAAACTCAAAGTGAGTCTAGTCGCGTAATTTGTACCTCACTTAAGGTACAAATGGTACCATGGCTGCCATTTTGAATTTCGAATACTTGTAACTTTTGTCAAGAGCAAAGATTTTCTGTTTTGTACACTACCCATCCATATTATCCATATTTAATATCCGTCATTTTCCTACCAAATGTACACTATCCATCCATATTGTAATATGTAATGTACACTATCCATCCATATTATCCATATTTAGTATCCATCATTTTCCTACCAAAATTCAAGCTACCACATTAGTATGTTACACAATTAATATAAAAGTTATACCTTTTTGATGATACCTGTTTTCAGACTATTCCAGGAAAGATTTACAGTTTCATAGTTTATTAAATTCAAACCTTTTTTACATTGCTTGGCATAGAAAAAGATCTTTATAAAAATCATTCAAAATGTACTGTAAATTAATACAGTATTTGTAAAATTAAGATATAGGTACAAAATTAGATTATAATAGTACGATTTAGGATCTTGTTTCTATAATTGTACTGATAACAAGTTTTTTAAAATTTAATTCCTTATCAAATACTAACGTTTAAATTTTGGAATATTTCAACTTTTTATAAGAACAGTTTATCCCCAAATTATAAAATACAATAAAGTCTCATTGTTTCCACTTTGGTATTTTTTCTTTATTTTTGACTTTATTCTTA